TGTTGTGGTTATGAACCAAGTCAAAATCAACATCCAGTGATTTTTCAGTGATTCAGTGATTTAAACTAGCATTTTGCCTTACATTAATGGTTTTGCTTTTGCGCGTAAATGATTATATAATTAACTCTCTTGCGATGAATTATGAGGGAAAAATTTGTTGTTTATGTTTTACATTATGGGATTATGTAAACTTGAGTGATGAGTTTTTGGCTGTCAATAACGAAACTGTCTGCTTTTCCAAGGCAGCAATGTTATCGGTTTACATGTCGGTTCCACCACATAACATGTTGCACCAGTAAATTCTTGCAACGTGCTATTTCACCCTCTGCTTTTCTTGATTATGCTCCAGCATAAGCCATATGGATGGGCAAATAGTAGAGGTTAAAAGCCACCAAACTTTTATGAATACAAATTAAAAATACTTACGCCGTAGCATACCTGCAGACTAAGCGAATTTAATTCTTTAATTCGTCTCATTCCCTCGTTGGATTTTCACAAAAATGTTTAAGTAAACACATCAGATTAATTCCCCATTTAAATTACATTAAATTAATATATAATGAACGTAAATTTAATATTTCCCCAAAACTCGAGATAAGAAATACCTGATTTTGTAGAACTAATTGTAAGGACAATACTTACATTTGCTACTTAAAACGGACTTGGTAAAATAATATTTTATGAAAGAAATAAACATTTGGAATTTTTATTGGTTTTTATTGGTCAATCGGTGCAGTTTTGAATGATAATCAAAACATCTTCATGGAGAGAGCTCCCATTAGGATGAACATCAGCATTTGCATGATGGCTAGCTCATCAGTAATGGTTGAGATAGGGTAGGTCGCTATAATCTAACGATTAAGTAGACTATTGATGGAGGAGTCTGAAGCAAGTTTCATGGAAGTCAGATTTTCTGAGAATAATAATTTTTAAATCATCAGATGAACAGAGGCTTCCTTAAACCCCACCCAGGGGGTTGTTTAACATAAGGAGTTTTCATATAAATTGCAGTACAGTTTTCATTTCTGGATTACCTAATATTTTAGTATCTCAGATAGGTCAATCTTAATTTTAGAAAGACCTATAATGCCTAGGTGAAGGCATTATCTGTGCAGCCTAAAGCTACTATTAATTGACATGGTTTAATCTCTGGCCACTGAGATAGTAATCCTGTCCTGAAGCCCCCAGACTAGCCCGGCCCTTGTGGGAGTATATACAGTACACAGGAATTTATAATTAATTATGAGCATACAAACTAATCAAAGATTTAGTGGATTTCACCCTAAAATACGCTGAATTGTTTGTAGTTTTAAAATAAGCTCTTTATAATATACCCGTGTATTTCTGTGTAAGTTTACAATGTCACAGTATAAATAAATACTCCTACTTGAATATTGATATTTTGTTGCTATTTTCATTTTTAAACACCAAATGAGAAGAAAAAGTTGAAGATTTAAAATGATAATTTTTAATAAATACGTAAATTTTATTCTGTTTTCATTCTTTAACAAACAGGTGGCTAAAATAATATTTAAATAATATTTAAAAGTAATGTTTTATAACATATTAATATCTTTAATTTTTATTTGATTATATTTTGTAGATTCACTGATACTGGGTAGCCGAGTGGATATAGTGCTCGCAGTTCTGTTCCAATCGGTCCTATTTTTGGGCCCAGATCCAATTTTTACGCATTCAGTCTATTATAAGCCAATGATAATTTTTAAGCAAACCATTAACAAAAAGCTGAGCTCGTGGCCAAGTAACCTATTAATAATATACACCTAAAGACGTAGGATGTTATTCATATGATACTGTAGAAACCGAAAAAAAAACAAATTGCGCAGGTGAAGAAAATAGGGCAAGTTGTATTCTCGTGTCGTCAGTTTAGACAGTGCCACTCTGTCGAGCTGTTAATAAAAAATCACATCCTTCCAGCTATTTTATAGATGTAAGTGGTACATCTCTCCAGTGTCTCTTTCAATTTATTTATCACTGTCAAAATCTTTTTAGAAGACCGGAAATAATTAAATTAATGATGCTACCAAACAAATTATTCACATTAGATAGTAAAAAGACCTGGGTTTGGACAGTTAAAAAAAAACTTAAAAAATAAAAATAAATCACCACCGTCAAAAAATAAAAAAAAAACTACTATTTTTAAATTGATATTATCGGATCAGTAATATTTCAAGTAAATTTTCAAAAGAGACTATTTTTAAAAATTCATATTAATAAACAAGAACTAACATAAGCTAGTAACGAACACATAACTTCGGAGTGTATGTCAAACTTTCCTTTTCCTAAACGAGGGTAAAGACCGATAAATTGGCGATCATTTATCTTCTTCAGACAACTTTGAGGTTTGCTGTTTACACTCCATTCAAACACACATTTTTGCCATCTTTACACAGTGTTCTATACTATCTGCTGTGCAAAATACACCTTTTCATATGGCTTTCAACATAAAAGCCAACCATGCCATTCAACATGGTTGAATTGCTTGATAAACCTAAAGATTCTACATAGGTAAGTGTAGAAAAGAAAGTTGATAATATGATAATTTCTAAATTAAATTAAAAGCTGATCGTTTACAGTGACACCACTTTTAAAATAAAATGTTGACGATGGTTGTGATATTTTAATTTTTAATTTCACAATTTGTAAATATATAATCCCATAGATAGCTATGCATTTCCCCCTCTAGTCTTCTAATAAATTATTAACATTTAAAGAATAATGAAAAGAGAGACACTGAAGGTACCACTTACGTCTGTTCAGCTGGAAGGATATGATTTTTTATTTACAGCTTGACACAGTGGCACTGACTCCAAACTAACAACACAAGAGTATAACTCATCTTATTTTATACAAAGTAAAAAAGATTAATTCATCCTTAAAACTTAAAACAGTCGATTTATACAGGATCATTTAAATACTGTAGCGTTTGATGTGTTTAGTAGATTATATGCTAAATAGGTTAGTTGGCAACGAGATAAACTTATTTGTGAATGCTTTGGTTAAAAATGTAAATCTTCTTTTAAAGAAACCAAATATATGATTTTAAGGAGGTGTTAACGATCACCCCCACTCTAATTTTTACCATACATTTCTAATACAAAATAAAATAGATTCAGTGTCAAATTAAATGTGTCCTATGATCCAAGCTCAAAGTAAGACGGATCTCATTGTTCCTAGGTACAAGAACTCAATCACAAAAAAATAATGATTGAAAAATAAAACCGAAATTAATTATTTCCACCACTATAGAATTTTGAAAGATTGTAACGAACTCATATAGACATGGAAATAAAGTTATAGTTTAGTAGAAGCTCAAGAAAACTTTAAATAAGAAACAGAACCATGAACCTATTTTGCGATTAAGTTTATTAGTAAACTGGCTCTATGTTTCCTGGGGTTGATATACAACTTGAATACAGTACATACATATTTATAAGCTAAATATAAGTTAGTGATTCTAAACTATAAATGTATAAATGAAACTTGTTTGGTTAGGTAAAGGCATGCAGTGTTAAGAGAAGTGCCTTTTCGTGTCTTGTAGTCTAGGACGACTCTTCATTTTAATTTACTATTACAAACACCTCAGATTATTATACTATGCATTAAATATTCATGTGATAGCATCAACGTAGAAAATACTCAGAATAACTGAACATAGAGTTTAATTTTAATAAACTTTCTAAGAAGTTCATCGCCTATAGTTTGCACCTGGATCCACGTTCAGACTAACATTTACTCAACGATTCTTTGATATGTTGTGTAGAGTAAATAAAATAGTATGATTTTATAAAGGATTTTAATCCTGAGATAAAAGAAATTTGCCTAATTTTATAAATATATAAATATTTTATACCACAAGCAAGAAATCTATAGTGATCAATTCAATCGCAATAAGGTTAATGGATGATATACACCAATAAATCCATAAAGAGCCAATCAAAAGTGATTAATTTAGTTTCTATAAGGATAACACAGGTGATCTATACTATTTATTTCGATGTAATTCATATTATTATGCAAGTTGGGCATAGAAAGGCCACACGCTATTTTTTTTTCCTGTTAAAAATAATTCTATCAACAGTCTAAGTAATGGCTATACATCAATTGTCATGAATCTTTGAAATATTAAAATAGTATGAAATGGTAAAGTAAAAACAGATTTTCAGTATAGAGCCACCTAATAAGGATATAAAAGACCTAATAGGTCAGATATATCTGACCCCGCTCAGTGATTGCTTATGACTGGTTCTCGACCACTTTCAAATTGATGTAGAGTTTCAAGTTTCATCAAGATTTTATAAAAGCCGGAGGATTTTTGCGAGTGCATAACATTTTCTCCTTGGCCCCAAGATGTAACATGGATAATTTGGGAATAGATCACCCTTAAATAAAACTTGATAAAAAACTAATGTCAAAATATTCCTTACAGAGGCTTCATTCCATAAGTTCGACATAAGGTATAGCTGATAGTGATTATACAAGTGATTTTTCATCACATAATAATCCATTTTACAGCCCTAGCCTCCTCTATGACAAAATAAGGTCCCTCGACATCCCCATATTACTTATACGTACAGGCTATACACGTTCGCCGAAGAAACGTTACTGACTAGTTTCATGGTAAGCATCACATTGCCAAAACTGATTAACATCGGTAAAATATCAGTATAGGTAAATAATTCACTTTAACACAGCACTCGTTAATAACGCAACAAAATGTTTTCACTAATGGCTACTATTGCAGCCAGGCCCGATTGGTACGATTGTGCTGCCTTTTTCCGTTAAGTATTATGTTCGTGTTGTGTTTCATGCAAAATTGTACATTTTTATGTATGAAGCTTAACAACTAGCCATCAACGTATTTAGATGAAAACTCTTCCAGACGGTGGTAAGGAAGTCTCTTTTATCAATGATTTATTTTAATTCTTACTTTTTACGATATTTTTTAAACAGAGGCTAATCATATGTTTATCACTGACCTTGTACCCCAGGTAGGCCAGGAGCAGTGCCTCCGTGAGGCTGATTCCTGCCAGGATCACCTGGATGACCCAGAGGACCACGGGCCGTTTCACCCACAGGATGGCGTCCCAGTTGATGATGGGATTCTCCTGGAAAGCCTCCTCTGTCAGGTTGTAGGAGACCAGGAACTCTGACTTGTTGGAGGGCGTGCACCCGTAGCTGGAACACCACCGAGGCGATCAGAGGAGGTGAAGACCCAAGTTAATGTGGGATATAACACAGTAAAATTATTTAATATACAAAATAATGTAACACGAGTGAAAACTGCATTTGCTGCACTCCAGATACTTTCCACACTCACCTATGGCTCGTGCGTAAACATTTCTCTCGTGTGCAGCAAAGTGCCACTTCGCCCACTAGTTACCCAAATCACTATATCGATGTTGATTTTTAATTTTCCGTATATTATAAATAAACTATCTACAAAAGTCACCGGATATAAACTATTTGGAAAGAAATTACTTAGCATGTATAAAATACGTATTCGGTAGAATGAAACCTTTTTAAATTGGGGACTTGTTAAGCTGCATTGTGTTTGGGCTTGGATATTTTTTATATTTCTCTTCCAACAGTTTTAGCCAGGTTTTCAAAAGCTAACATGGTTGAATGATTTTTCATAGAGTATGCAATCGTTCTATTTCCTATAAGCTTTTTACACCATCATAGTCGATAACAAAACAATTGATTAATAATAACAAATAGCTAAGGCTTTGAGTTTACTGATATATCTCCCTACCCCAAGAAATGCATATCCATCCTGAAAAGAGGCCCATAAATGAGTGTAATGAGGGGTAAATGAGTGTGTGCATTTGTAGTTCACTAGATATACCAATAAGGAAAAGTAACATACGATCCATTCCAAAGGTATCCTACCCAACTCGCAATGAAAGTAAAGTATTAATTTCACCCATAATGAACGACATTTACATCTAAAAACGAGAATACAAACATTTTTCTTGACAATATACAAGACGTAGATAAAATAAGCTCTAAAAGTTCATCTTATATGTGACAGTGTTATGTCCCCAGGGAAGATACTTTATGAAATGTCGTCGCATTATCATTTACAGTGTCGTTGACTTTCCTCTAAAGACGTAAAGTACTTCTTGTAAATGTTGTACGCAAACGATCTTACATCGCGGTTACAGATTTTAAACTTATTTGGGGTTTCCTCGCATATAGTATTGAATGAGGCACACTTTCCGAATAAATGTTTATTAATTATATTTATTAAAATGTACATGTTTTCGAAGAGGTGATGGAAGATTGCTACTTCAAAAGATCTAGCTTTGATGCAATAGTAAGAGTTTGTACCCAGTACAGCAAAACACGGCAAAAAGCAACAAAAAAAAAAAAAAAAAAAAAAAAAAAAAACAATGAAAAGGTTTCGATCGTAAAATATACATCTTAAGAGTACAAAACTATTTCTTCAGTAGAAAATAAAGCGACTCTTTACAGCACGAAATTATTTCTACGAGTTTATTTACAAAATGATAAAAAATTCATTACGTTTTGGAATAATCTTTATTATTAAAACATGAAATATTATAACTGAAACGCAACATGAAGTCACACTTAGTGTTATCCTTTCCTTTTGATACAAACTTCTGTCCTTGTAATCTAATATCATCCTTCATCAAAGAGATTCTCTCATTAAGGTTTTATATTTACAGTACATTACACTGATCTGGGCCAAACATAAATAATTGTAATATTTGTGAATGGGTAGTCTTTAATTGTTAATAAAAAAAAACACATGAAGGTCGATTAGAAGCATGTTTCTTGATATAGAAAGATCTTTCTGAGTGAAAGTTCTTCTTTAACACGCCTGGGAAAGATCTTGATGAACTTACATTTAAAATATAATGCACATATTGTCTATCTGCCTATCTGCCACAATACTTATGTTCTTTAGATAATCCTTGGCTGTCAATAAGTTGAAAAAGACATTGATAATAAACGTTCAATGCATGGGTATAGCCAATAAAATAATACTTTTTATTCATCCCTTCAAGTTCAAATACCCATATTGTATAACACGTTTCAATTATTTAATTGCACTTTATTACTTGTAATTATTTCACACAAAAATAGCTCTTAGATAGTTACATAAAAATAACCTTGATCTAAGTAGGAAATGGCCTAATACTTTTTTGATACACCTTTTTTTAAGCAACGGTGTTGGAATTGTTTAGTTAATTATCAAACCTAGGTGCGTATTTGAACTCAAATATGAGTTAAAGATGAGCGTAGAATGGTGTGAGATAATTGTAGTCAATCAATGACATTGAATCATTTAAACGAATAATTCTGGTAAAAGAAAATCATCAACGGAACTAATTATTTTCATACATTATATTTCTACCTTTGATATACTCCGATGAAATGAGCATTGTTCGGTTTGAACGAATCCCTCATAATACATTCATACCCAGTCATCCAGTACTAATGAATGTTGGAGCAGGACAATCGCAGAAGCCATTTAATTAGCGAGCAAGTGTTGCATTGTGGGCTGATTATCTCCAGCGCGTTGTATTCATGTTGAAACTATGAATTTGTAAATGAGATGTTCACTAAATGTGTGGTTGTCCAGAACAACAAAATATCTGGTAGATTCAAATAATGTTTTTTTAATAGTCACATGTTAAGGAATTTAACATAGATAATACATTTAGCATTGATGGTGAAAGATTGCAAAATGGGGTATACTCAATACGACTCAACGTCATTCCTTAAACATTTAATACATCTCAGTTCTAGACTACGTACTGGGTGAAACCTTCTTCGTCTTGTTGAGAATAATAGTTCTGAGCCTAATTTCTTACTAATTGTGGCCCTTAAACACCATAAAAATCTGTAATAAATTCTTGTTTGTGTAGTTGACTAGTTTTTAGATTCAAATATGAAGGACGCTGTTTTCTACTCCAAGTGATGTCGTTACTGGAACCAGATGTCATTGTCAATGGATTATTCATTAATCGTGCTATTTTGCTAAAATATAGACCTTACATAGAAACAAGATCTGGGTCTGAACCGTTCCCTACAGTAAAGTAAAAAAATGCTACTGAGGAGTATATATATAAACACAAAAACTGTACTGCACTAAAACATTTTTAAGTGTCAACATTATCAAGTAATAAAAAAAACAAATATATGTATTTTTTTAAATCCAACACAGTATACGAGTGTTAAAGATAAAGCCACTATGCAATTAATTAAGCTATATATTAATAACATTTACTTTGTATGAGCTCCTATAGCGCTCTTATTACAGGACGTCGATCGCAAACACGTTGGATGAAGTTGTCCACTAAAGGTTTATCGCCATGCAATCCCAACCCCAGTGGTCTTTATAAATAAAATTCAGTCCGCTCATCCATGGTATACATTACAGATAGCCTTACGTACAAATTTGGAATTTAGCCCCTCCCAAAGACAGTCTATTCTTTCAGTTCAAAAATATACTATAATTCTTACCAGGCAGCATAAATCGGATCGTCGTCCATGACAACCCTGAAAATGTAGAGGACACATGTCAGGAGCTTGAAGAGGAGGTTGGCAATGCGAATACGAAGGCCTGGAACATAAATAAAGTATGAGTCATGTAAGCCCCAGAATCACAAAAAAGTTGAGGACACAGAAAAAGAAGGCTAAAGCAAATGTGGAGAACAAAATTGAGGAGGAATCAAGGGAATAGCTGGAGAGAGGTAAAGAAGCTACAAGGAACCCGTTTTCGATAGTGCTGTTTTGTTGAGACTCTATGATTGCTAAAATTACGAGCCACAGGAATTAAGTTATTAGGTTGTGATGAGTATTGCATATAGGCCTAAGAAAACCACAAAATACACGAATTTAAACAAAAGACTTTGTTTTAGTAGGTACATAATATAGTGACAAAAGGATTGAAGCACATAATTAGTGTTGCATAGTTAAGCTAAATCCTACAACATGAGGAACGGTAATTTATTTTACAGTATATTTTTACATAATGAAGTAATGCATGGATTAAAATAATACATTAAATGCTTAAATGATGTTTGGATATCAAGTAAAGGAACACAACGTCTCTTCATTATTAAGTCTGCAGTATTTACTGTCTGTTCAAACAAAATGTTAGTTTAGTGTTCAGTAAAGAGTATCCTTATTTTGCTGAACTACACTTGCAATTATTTATAGGAAAAAAAAACAATGAAACAGGACCTAGAAAAATATTACAAACTACACTTATAAACCACAAGTTTTTATAGTAGTCATTTATGCTGAAGACGGTTAAAATCAGCCGATGTTAGCTTAACTTTAGTTTATTTTATTCTACATAAAAAACAAGAACATACATAATGAAAATATTAATTATGTTCACTACTATCTCTCTTACCAACTGTTAACAAATAATATCCGTAGAAATCTAACATTTTGAAAATCTGAATCTGATTCAGTCTGTTAGTGGGATTTAAAAGCAGTAAATGCTTAAGTGGGAGTAAATGAAAAGAAAACAGAGGCGGAGGAAAGGAATCAGCCCGGACGTTTACAAGTCCAACCTAAGTTGAAGCGCTGTTACCACAAAGTGGTCTACTGTCTTTAACTGCCCACCTTCTTTAAACAGTATGTATATGAAATGTAACTAAAATAAATTAAAATAGTTTGTACTGCTTACTTGATCGCTGGTTTTTGATGAAGTACAGTTGCAGCCGCTCTTTGAAGGTGTTTTCGTTTACGTAGTACTCCACTCGGACTCTGAAACAAAAGAAAAATTGTGATTATTTCTGAAATTATCTATTTTTAATGCTAATGAGGCTTTTTAAACATTGATAGTGGTTCTGTAGAATTAACCAACATTTTTCTGTACAGGTTTTCATGACAACTTCTCAGCCAAATATGACCTTGATCTGCAAACATAAGAGAACATTTTACGCAGGTAAAGTACTTTGTTAGCTAGAGGAATTTTATACACAAGCTTCCAGGGGTGAGGTCCCTAAACAAGAGAATACGATTTAGGCGTCTCTAGTTCTCTTTACGATGTGCTTAAACAAACACAACTGAACACACATTCCAAATTAATGTAGCTGTTTGTGTGTTATTCGAAGACACTAACAAAATACCACAGCTTTAAATTTAAAATTAACTTTCAGTAGTTTTGGTTTTTGCTTAATATGTGTAGAAATAATACGAGTCATACTAAAATAGTTCGGTTTTCATTGACGGACCAGCTACTGATTGTTTTGAAAAGGAGGTCAACGATAAAAAAATTCAGGACTTATATAAAACTATAATGCATACTGTAGTTTATATTGATAAGAATAATTTTATCTAGGCATTTATACTTTATTAATAAAGGTTAATTCATAATTTACAATAATATACAAAAAAATAAATGTTTAAAAATAGTTTTCATACATAAAATTCACTTCAACTTGGTGTCTATATGAAAAAATCAACAAGAACCTAAGGTACTAAATTTAGAGAGTTTAACTTTGAATTTGAATTGAAAAATTTTCAGACTACCAACCTGTGTAGAGGAAGGAAGTAAATGCAACACTTAAAATATGTTATAAGTTTCAGGGTTCAGGGGAGGGATTACTGAAGCTGCAAGAGAAGGGTTTTATATTCACGTAAAGCCCACATTTTACTACCAGCCTTACCCACCTGTCATAGGGGAGCTCGGCGCGTGTCAAACCTACAAATTCGCTACACTTTTGTAACAGTAGACGAAATAACGTGCATGTATACAACAACAGTTGCTCGACAGTCTAAATAAATGAACACTGAGAAGATAATATGATTAAATAATGATTTAATGTGGAATTAATTTCATGTAAGGGGTTTATCGAGTGTATGTGCTATTTTATGGCTTGAATACATAATATTAACCAGATTACAAGTCAGTAATAAAAAAATATGAAAAAGTAGATATAATATCAAATCAGTTAAAAGGAAAAGCTGTTGATGAATACAACAAATCACTCAACTAAACAATGATGATTATCACAAACTATAATCATCACTCTAAATTAGGTATGATAGGTATGTCCCATGTTGATAGTTCAAAAGTTCAATGTTGTTGGGTCAAACAATTCGATAGTTCATCTTAGTTAACTCAACAAAACTTGTATTTTATAGTCATAAACTGGTACATTTCCAGGTTTTGTAAACCTGGAAAGGCCTTTTGTAGGCTTACTTTAAGAATTGCCTCCCATCTCCTCCAATGCTAAAAGCCTACATAGTTACACTATCATTCAACCTATACTTCTACTTCATGACTTACTCAACAGTCACGACCAGAAATACCTTACCGTAGCTGATCATCTGAAATGTTCCAAGAGTTATTGAGTTTCAATAAAACAAGTAATCAAGACCACCTGAGCACCACAATCCACAAACTTATTAACACGTCTAAAACCAAGAGTAACAACGCAAATGTACTTATCTAAGTAAAAAGAAGGCATATATGAATATCTCAAAATAATTGCTCGTTCAAAAGGAAAAATCAATACACACAGCAATTAGGTACCTAAAGGCAAAGGTTTAAAAGTTTAATCAAATCATTTGTTGTTGTCGGTTTTGGTTGTAGATAATACTAATCACTTTTGAGGGAAAGTGTTTCATATACGTGGATCCTTTTTTGTAGATATGCCAGGAAACGAACTCGTCCCTGCACTTCGAAGTTTGAGAAGCTAGCCAAATACTACACATTATATGCATAACAATATTTATACGAGATAGTTTTACTGAAAAAACTAAGAATTATTCACAAAACATTGCTGGATGAAGATATGCGTAATCAATTTAATAGATACATCTTAAGATATATCTTAATGAGTCTAATGTGGGTCCGGGTGATGACTAGTTTTGTGATGGGAATAACTTCTATGTAATGGGTATAACTTATTGATCAGCATCATAAATTACCTGAAAGTACAAAAAATACGCCAAATAACACTATCAACAATATATTTACACTTATCTATTGACTCACAATACGATAAATACATATAACAGATGGTAAATGGTGATCGATTTCGATTAAACACTCCATCATCACACCCAATAGGCGAATGATCAGTCGCTTATAGTCAATAGTATAAGTGTTAATATATTATTAACATTGTTATTTGGCGTATTTTGTGTATTTTAAACTAGGTTTAAATAAAGAAAGGGGTTTGAATATGTCAAAAGACGAAACAAACCTGGATAAGGGCAAATTTTATGACTCAGCTGTCTGTCGGGTAAGCTCATCTCAGAAATACAGCAGCCGCACCGGTGCCTAGTTCGACTTATATTGTGAAGGAAAATTTAACAAAGGGAAAACTTAGGAAAAAAAATAAAAACTGATACCACATTTTTGTTTATAAACGGATTTTATTAGTTTTAGGTTATGCTGAATCTTCTTGTCGTCACCTCATACGTATAAGAAGCACAAGTAACTTATACGAATTGGAAAACTTGGTTACTGTAGGTATACATTTTTATTTGATCTTTTTGTTCATACCTTGAATGAAAGTTACTTAGCATAGGGAAGATTTATCTAATGCATCATATAACAATAGCATATTTTGTTCCTACTGTTTATCTAATTATTCTACGTTTTGATTTGTTTCAAAAACATCTTGAACTTCAAATATAATATACAAAAATCTTAGACTGAAAATTTCTTTTTCACTCTTCCCAATACCCATTGACACCAATGAATTTAAAGAGTTTTCATTACTTACACATTAAAAGTTGTTATTTTTATATAGTTTTTGAAATTTTGATTTACGCTTATTATTATTACGTTTATTAAGAGCATATAGAATAACGATAAGTTAAAATGGTCAAGCCATGTACAGTTTTTTAATGATTTAAAAATAATTATACTTGGAAATAATCAGTTTATAACACCAATACAACAGGGAGTTTCGTTTACTTTATGACGGTAACATGTGGTTTTATAGAGCACGATTTCCAAACAGCGTAATAAAGACATTATTTTACTACACGAAATGTGCTAAGTGCTAAATGAGATCTTTGATTTGTGCTTAAAGAAATATCTGAACTCTGTATTTGTTTTAAGAAGGGACTTACAATAAAAACATGATGTTTGCAAAAGTATATTACACAAAATCTAATAATAATATGAAAAATTGTATAAAATCATGTTGGCAAAAATATTTTTGCTCTTATGAGTTTGAAAGTGTTTTTGCAGCTTGGAACTTTCAAACGTAGAAGTAGGTTGATCCCGGATCCTAGTTCTTACAACGTGCACTACACCAGGGAAATTAACTGAAGAGAAGTAAGTTATCATCTGTGTAAGAACAGTTCTGTAGAATGAACATGTAAATAATTGGGGTGTTTAAAATATATATATATATATAAACTGTTTGTCTTAATTTATATTTACCCTCAAGCAGAGCTTGAGATTTGCAGCTTCAGGAGGTTTAAAGTGGTCTTCAATTAGTTATTCCTCCATTCTACGCTCCACGGAGATAAGTTTATATAATGCAACGCTACTGTTTATCTAATTATTCTACGTTTAGATTTGTTTCAAAAACATCTTCAACTTCAAATATAATTTACAAACATCGTAGACTGAAAACAAAACATATTGTTTCACTCACCCCAATACTCATGAGACGCCAATGATTTTAAAGAGTTTTTAGTAGGCCTATACACAATAAAATGGTAAAATGGTTTATTTTTATATAGCTTTAAAATTCGGCTTTACACTCAGACATATTATTACGTTCATTAGAAGCATATGACTAACGGTAAGTTGAAATGGAGAAGCTATGTTCAGTTTTTTAATGATTTAATACAACATTAGACTTGGAATTAATAATTGTTTATTTAAAATTCTATTTAACTGTTTAATAAATTAGTTTGATTCAATATAATAAGTTTCAAATGATAACACAATAAATTAATGTTATGTACCAGAACTAATAAATTCAAAGTTTTGATTAGAAAAATAATTGTTATTTCGATTAAAATATTTTGAGTGCTATTTTAATAAAGTTGTTCACAAAATAACCCTATTAGATGTTACACAAGTTCGTTGTTGGTTAGTACTATTTAGACAATGTACTAAATACATTTCAGTGTTTTGGTTAGCAATCCATTCCTTATAAAAATAAAAAAAACAATTTTGACAAAGAATTCAACATTGTGTAATGTTTTTAATTCCTGCTGAGGTCTGTAAATAATATAAGACGAGACTGTATCTCAAGTCACTGGACTAAGTTTCCAAGCATCCGCTCATTCTAGGGCAATTAATATGTGTTCAGTTACCGTCGTTAATGGACTTCTAAGAACATGTAAAAATATAAAGGAAACTACTTCTTGGTTAACTACACCACTACATCATCAACTTATATGATTATAACCAGAGTAATTGCCGAAGATAAAACGGATAATATAAAGCACGTCATGAATCACTATTCAACATATTTATACATTTACTAAAACTTTGGAAAACACAAAATCTTGTATACATTTAAATAAAAAATTAAGGATTGATGGATGCTGAAATATACATCCCATCTATATGGACCAGCTGAATAAAATATTTTATTCAAGACAGTAACTATGATCAATACTATCTCAATGGTTTAGTGTTGACCAGCCGTGGAAAATGATAATTTGAAAATATAGAACTGTTAAATGTCGTTCATAACTTAATATTGAGAAGTGATAAGTAATATCAAAGATAAAGTACTAACAATTTGAAGAAGGGAATAGCCCCAGGGATAACCTACACA